TTTCTTTTTACTTTCTCACTGTATTTTGGCTTGGGACCTTTCTTTACTTCATCAGTTTCTACATTTGTGAGTTGTGGAAAGTCTTCAGGCTTCTTTTGAAAGACTGCTGGTTTCTTAGGGGTTGTTTTCTGCTCAAATTTTTTCTCATACATAGCACATCCGCGGTAACTACTTATGTGATTTTCTTTATAGAAAATGCACGTGGGTTTTTCACCTTTGCTCATCTGACACATATTACTTCGGTGAGGTAGTCCGCATTTACAGCAGCATTCTTCATTTGTACACAGGGGCTGAGGGTGTCCCCACTCCTGGCACTGAAACACTGGATCGGGCTTTTCTTTGGGTTGTATTTCTCGATCACGATATTTACACTAAACATATTATTGAGATTATGGATAGCATATCCATTTTTACTTTTCATCAGCTCGAGTAGCCAAATCGGTAATTTTTCAGAATTATTCTTGGGGGATCTGCAGAACTGCTCCACTTTAAGTATGGGGTATTTCCGCCGCTCTAAATCTTTAAATATTGCTTTCTCAGTAGTTTTGTCAGGGAGATTCTTCAGGATAACTTTTAAGGGTTTCTCGTGGCTCATTAGATAAGTATGGTGAGGTATGCTTTTCGACTTCATTAGCTGCAGAACGGTTTTGTAGTCTTCTATGGATTTTATGTTAATGAAAATTGATTTTGACTTCATTTGTGCTTCAAATTCTTCTTTGCACGAGCTTCGGAGTTCTTTTTCAAGCTGTAGCCATTCTACATTTTCCTGCTTTAATACTATAGGAGGGGGTACTTCATCTGAGTTTATTTTGGCTTCATCGTCAATTTTAGCGTTATCAAGTCTTTCAAAGCAGTTGCTTTGGGAAATTTCCATGGGTTCTTGGTTTTGCGGGGACTTATGGTTTTCTTTGGAGAGATCCAGGGTTCTTCAGGAGTTAGTTGTTTCTCTTCATTTGTGTTTTTCATCTCATCTTGTTTTTCGTTCATTGATGCTGGGCTTACTCTGTAATGAGGAGAATTCGTCACTTTTTTTACAAATGCTTCCATTCCTTTCTCTTGAATGAATTTCGTTACTTCTGTTATTCTTTCATCTTCTACATAAGGTGATTTTTCATTAGTGGGAGTTAAGGGAGGCATCTGCTTCACTTCCTTCATAGGGTTTTTCTTGATAAAATCTTCTTTCCTCCATTTCTTGAGATTTCGATGTCGAAGCTCGGAATGAGCATTTAGAATTCTGGTCCAAAGTCAGGTCGTCGTCATCAGAAAAATCGTCGGGTGTCCTAAAAAAGGGCATTTTTTTCATTCCCGAAGGTACCTAAAAACAGCAGATTATGAAAATCGTAATAAAAATCAAAAACACTGAACTGACCACCTAAGGTGCTGGGTAAGCTACTGCACATGTGATAATGAGAATCTCTCAATGATTGCCCTCGATGGTGTACTTGGAAAGTAAGTGCTTAATCTTGCTAATCAGGCATTGGTCGGGGGGGAAGCTAAGTGCAAATCTTGTATCTCAAAGTAGATTTATTTAATAAAAATAAAATATCTGCAGTAAAAAGATTAAGGAGTGAAATAATTTGGCTGGCCTAAACATCTATTGCAGGGAATTAGAATAAAATAAATTGAAGATTATTACAAACAGAGGTAAAACCTGAGTAATGCTATTGATGCATACTTGGTCAAGGCTCTATAATCTGAAACAAGATGGTGACACTTATGTGTGCCTTCAAAGCTTCATTAAAATGAGTAAAGTAAGGCAACTTTACTGGGAAAAGTAAAGAGATTCAGGGGTAAAAGAAATTGTAATTCAAAATCGACAAAATGAATTAATTTAAGTGCCCGAGGTCTGGGTCTTTTTCTTTTTTCGTAGTCTGCATAGTTGACTCGGGCAAACGCAGTTCGCGAAACGGGCTCCCACGCATCAGCCCAATCCCAGTGTATGTCGTTAGCGATTTTCTGTCTGGAATGTAACTGAGCATGAGGGAGTCCTAAAAAGTTCAAGTGAGTAAAAATGGCAGTTAGATGAGTTCTGGGTTGATAGCATAAACAGTAGAGAGTCTCCGAAGAAACACTGTCTCATCTGCATCATCACAAGTAGGTCGTGTTGATTGGAAACAACTTACAGATTATGTTTTCGGAGACCCACCAACTGTTGCTAATTATTTTCAGTATTCCAATGACCATTGTTTGTGCTGTGAAAGATGTTTCTTAACTCTTAAATATATTTTTAAGAAGCACTGCGAGCAAGGACAAACTAAAAGCTCTAGCCTTGCTCTCAATTGAAAAAAGCATGGTAAATGCCTAAATTCAATGAAAGCCTTACTGATTTGTTTGCCTAAAAAGGGAGGGGAGGTGAGTGGATTTAATTAAAGCTAAGTAAAACGGAGGAAAGAGCATTCGTTTCTCAGTAGTAGTAGTTTGGTTCAGCACGAGTTCAGAGTATTGGGATATCTCCGTGCTAGCTTTGCTTATTTGATGTATTTTGCATTGTATTGTGTTTAACGTTCCGAGTAGTTTTAAGTGTAACTACTGATTGTACTCTGTGATACTATGAAAAGCTGTAAGAGTATTTTTATAGAAAGTTCTAGAACTTTGAAAAGTTTCTTTTGGTGAAATAAATATTATCAGTCTATCATCAGTTCTGTGTGCATTCAGTCTATTACGAACCCTTATGAACTCAACAGTGTATATACTTTTGGTATTGTCAATTGTAATAAAATGCAGAACTATACGTTATAGCAGTCCTCTATATAGAATTTCAACATTTTGCAGCTAATAATTTTAAAATTATGTGAGATATATATGTACATGTACGTTTCTCGCATCAGGCATTTGTACAGAATTCACATACTATGCACATAAATTTTAATGTGCTAATTCTTTTTAGCTATGTTACATACATATGTATCTTGCTTTGATTTCATTGTCACAAAAAATGCGTTTTGAATTGCATTTTTTTGTGCAAAAAAATTGTTTAATCCATTTTATGATCTGCTTTAGAATAAAGAGTATGTACATAGACATCACACATATGAAAAAAAAAGTCAAAGTGGATATTTCTATTGAAATCTAAAATATAAAAATTTTCATGATTACAATACCTTATTTATCTTGTACAAGGAAGCAAAAAACCAGAGAATTGCGCAAATTTGGCGCCAGTGCACAGATTTTGATCCATGAAATTGAATCATGTAAGAAATACAACTTCATACAAAAAATTTGAATTCTATACTGCCATTCAAAATGACATATTTCATGAAATGTGATGTTTTCTTTTTATGCAGCCAACAAACTTCAGTGTCCCATTAAGATTCCATAAAAAAAAATAAAAAACAGAAAGAAAAAGAGAGCACTCAAATGCATCAAAAACACACAGAAATATGGCCATCATGTTTAAAAGCTGAAATCACCTGTTGTCTGTTGCGCACATGCGCATAGCTAGATTGTCAAATGAATAAATTTTGTTTATGTGATGGGTTGTTTATTTTTGCAACATTACCTTGGGAATATTTCTTGAGGGAGTGTGGATAATTGGAAAGTATCAGTACCACTTTGTATATTGTTTGACTGACTGGTGTTCATACTGCAAAAGTAAAATGCTTATAGGAATTGGTGAAAAAGCAGAACAAAATGCACAGGCTTTACTCTAACTTGGAATCTTTGTAGCAGCAATTGCTAAACTGCGCCAGCAATTAAGAGCAGCACTTGCTAAAATGTCAGAAGGGTGTTTAAAATTAATTTTGCATGTGTTTGTGTTATTTAAATAAGTGTTTATAATATCATATTAAATAAAATAATAGTATATTAAATTACTTTAAAATCCCTGTCCTGTACGTATTGAATTTGTTATTTGCATGAGTTTGTAACTGTCTACTTCTCACTGAAGCTGAAACACTTTTTACCAATGCTACTGTAACGCAAAAGTAGAGGAATATCTTTGTGGAAAATTTTGAAAGGAAAACTTGTCTGTACTTATACATATGAGGAAAAAGCACAGAAATAACCGTGCAATCGGCACATTTCTGGGTTTTTGTATCTAAGTTGAACTATCACCAGTAATTTTCCTTCCAACACTAAGCAGCATGCATTAAATTATAATGTTAAATATAGAGTATCTGCTACTTAAATAAAATACAGTATTTTTAAGTAAAGTTTCAATTTATGATTATTTCTTTCAACAGTAATTGAAAATTATTCAATTTTTGATATTTTCCAATGGGTTACCTACAAGGCCAGAACTGGTGATCTAGCCTGTATTATGTGATACCTCACCTGACAGTAAAGCATGAGATGAATTTTATTGATCTTTCTATGATGTCAACACTCAGATGATAGAATGCCCATGGCATTATCGTAAATAACATATTATACTGAGTGTGAGAGGAAGAAGATCTGCAGTGCTGCCCTGTCACTTACCTAGTTGTGATAGTGATCTGTAAATACTATGTAAATCTGTAATGGACTGATTTCTGGCTGCGTTGAGGTGTATGAAGACAGTGTTTGTATGAATAAAATAGGAATGGCTACCAGTGCTGCTTTATATCTGAATATAATAAATTATGACTTGCTGACAAATGTAAAATAGGACTGCTTCAAATGACAAGATTCTAATTAGGATTTGAATTGCCTTTATAATGTGTTTAAATACTATGACAACCATCAAGGGATATGAGAGGTCCTTCTCAGGACCACATTGATGCAATCTTTTGGTAATGTTCTGTAATTTAATAATCTGATGATGTGACAAAATTTATTAAGTGTAAGTTTTTTATATTTATTTATTTTTTTGCTGCTACTTTTCATGTGCTTAAGTGTGGCAATGTTCTCAGTTTCTTTAGTTTGGATCATGGCTTTCTGGTAGTAGGTCACCTGTTGCAAGAATGCTTTTTTTTTTTTTTTTTTTTAAATAAATTATGCAATTAATATTAAACACAGTTTCATTGTATTTGAAACCATTCAGATGAATAACAAACATTTAATTAATCCTTTTTTATTTACAGATCTTTGAGCTGGTATTTGAGAAATAAAGCAAAGTTTCTTTAACAAGTTCCCCACATCACTGCTTTAAGATTTTTTATTTGCCAGTTCCTTCAAAACACAGTGATCCATGAAAGGTAATTAATAATGCACTTTTCATTTTTAATCTCTTTCATGAAGTTAAAATTTGTATTTCAGTGGCATTATAGTGTCTTTATATCTGATTATAGTAAAGTCAAGAACTCAATTTGTTATTATAGTTTAATCAAGAACTTAATTTGTGTGTTAATTAAGAACAGAATTCTGATAGATTCTAAATTACTATTATAAATTATATTTAGTGCTTTACTATTTTGAGTATGGTTCTTAGTAATATGAGTCAGTTCTATATAGAAGCATTATTTTTCTGTGGCTGTTATTTATACTCATTTGTAAACACTCATTATAGCAAACATGCAGAAGCAAATTGTTAAGATTTTTGAAAACAAATATGGGAACATGTATTGAAGTATTAGTGCTGAAAAATGAAAATATTCATTTAAATGATGTACAATTTTTCACAAAAATAAGTTGTGTAATAAAAGTAAATATGTGAATATTGTGCCAGAATTAAACTACAATGTAACAAACTTGTTCTTCAAAGATGTTATATGGTTCTTAAGGCAGGAAGCAACTAAGTGATGAACTCTCATTGGTGTCATTGAGAAGGGGCTGTAATCTTACAAGAAGAAATATATTCATCTTTGTTTAGAGAAATATTAAAAATTTTTGAGCATGTAAGTTCAAATAATGTAACAAAGACAATGTTTTCATTGTATAATCTCCAACCAATTCAATTTTTATTTCATTTGAATAGTGAAACTGTTATGGGGCTCAAAATGAATTTTTGTAATGCAATTTCAGGAAATAATTAGATGATAGTTATATTTAATAGTTTAATACGGAATAATAATAATAAAACTATAGTCAGATTGTTAATTCTTAGTTGTAGTTAAATTTTTGACTGCTAGATAGACTAGATAAATACTAAACTACTAGATAAATTTTTGACTACTACTACTTTGTAACTAGATAATATGAGGCATTCAGAAAATAATTTCTTCTATTTTAAGAAATAGTTGCATTGCATATATGCATATTGTGTTTGCTTTTGTATTCTCCTCCCTTTTCCTACTAATTTTACTGGTTGAAAACCAGGAGGGAAGAATAACGTGGTATGTTCTATTTCTGAAGTACATACCACTTAAATGATAACACATTAAAAAGGACAGATGAAAACACACTAATATTATTATACTGTATATCTCAAAGGACATACAATTATAATAATAATCTTAATTTCATGCCAAAATCTTTCTTATTTGTCTTTCTTATTATTCATTTATAATAGAATTTCTCTTAACTGGCAGCAACAGGACTGACCGTTTCCAGGATATTTGAATATACGTTTCTAGAAGAACTTAACTATTCATATTTTGTGATGCCATCCATAGATATTTACACAAGTTTTATATGGTCCTTAATTTCAGCCAAAATTGGCAGAAAGTCCTTAATTTTAATCATCTGAAATCTCTGTTTTTACAATTGCCATGTTGAGTGTAAATTAGCATTTTCGAGGAATATTTTTGATGGTTCACTGACAAATATGGCTATCTTTTGAATGGGTTCATAGGTTATAATTTGTTCCTATTTTTAATATAAACAGTGGGATATTCGAGTTTCTAAGCAAGAAGTGAAACATTAAGCATTTCGAAATTCTTTCTTTTTTTTTTTCTCTCTAATGAAGAGCTCTTAAACAACTTTTCACTTTTGTGATGTGAATTCTTTTCTTAAATTGTTCTAAATTTGGCGACGTAATCAACATTTTGGCAATTTTAAGATAAGTTTCTGTAGAAAATTTTTAATTTGGAGACCTGGGAAGTTTTTGATGATTTTTTAAACATTATACGTTAATAAATTTCATTAAAATAATGGTAATATATTGAAATTATATTTAAGAAATAACATTAAAAACATATTTTTATTTTTCGTTGTCATATTATAAAGTGACATTACTTTTCATTTTGGGGAGTTTTACAATATTTTGGATCAGTAAAATAAACAATATGATAAATGCTATGAAGCACAATTTACGAAGTAATTCTTAGCAAAAACAAAATCTTTTTAATCAACAAGTCTTCTTTTTAATTTTTTCATGGTTTTATCTTGTGTAATTAAATGTTTCAGAATATTCAGATTTCTCAGAATATGCACCAGTTTTCTCCATAAAATTAATTTTATGCTTTTTCCGCTGATTTTTTTTTTCCCAAAATATTTCTGGCTTTTTGCTGTTGCAGAATTGTTAGGGGTAATTTTTCTTTAGGTCTGTAGACATAGTAAATTTGGAAAGCCTAGAAGGATTTGAAGGCAAGATTTATAGACCCAAAATTCTAGAAGATGCTAGAAAAATAATGACAAAATGGAAAATGTCTTCATGATATTAAGATGTAGTGGATGTATTTTACAGAAAGTTTGTGAGGAATTTCTTACATTTTAGAGAATTTTTGGAAGAACAATGAAAGCGTAATATTTGAATTTTTTTTTTTTTAACTTCTGATACAAGAAGTATTTTTCTGTAATATGTTAATCTTATCTTTATTTTTCTCTAATTTTCACTAGACACACGCATGGAAAATATCAAAAATGCTTTTAATCTTACCGCATGGACAAGCATTTATAGAATAGAATTTTTCTATTGATAAAGAAATTGAAAACTGACAAGTTAAAAGATTCATCTTATACGTCTCAAGAGATCATACACAGGGCTGGTGCTAGGCATTTTACCACCTGATGGATCCTAAATTCATTTCATATTTATTTTCAATCTTTATATTACTAAAGAAATAAAATTAGCAGCTTTTTCATACATTCTAAATGCATTTAGTTGTTTTTTTTTTTTTTTTTTTTTTAGAATAACAGAAGTCTATAATTAAATCCAAAAATTCTAAAATAAAGAGGGAACATATTGAAGAAAGAAACCAAATTCATAAAGAGAAACAAAATTATTCTTCAAAGATATGTACAGTTTTTATTATGCAAGTTAACCAGTTGTAATTTCAGCCTTTTCTATAACTTCTCCCTTACCAGAATGCATATAGCTAGTTTTTAAACTTAGCAGTTTAGATTTAAGACAGAGTGTATTTCTGGCCTCTGCTTGCATGCTGCATTAGTTCCTCCCAGCTCCGATAATTTATAATTATATGTCTTTGTGTTATTGCTGCCGACATTTGAATTTGTTACGACGATAGAGTCTTTGACTACTAGTCCACATTTTTAGTTTGAATTTGACTATTCCACTTTCATTGCACCACGAGCTGTAGTTGATTTTGTTAGCATAAAAACATGTCTTTATGTTCTAAAGATTTTTTTTTTTTTAAATATGAAATTTATTTAAATCTTTGTCTGACTTTGTAGTTATTTTCAGACATAGCGATAATTTGCTTTATGTCTTGTGAGAGGTTTCAGATAATTAAACTTTTATCAGATCAAGTAAAACCTCGTAGGTACATCATTGAGAGATTGACAGGTTAGGAGATAAAGCACACAGAAACTAGTGAGAATATTGGTTTGCATACTGAAGCAAATTTCTAATTGCTAATAAAGATGCTTAAAGAGAAAGAAATTGATATAAATTAGCCAAAATGTGTGGTAAAGCTTCAAATTAAAAGGATGAATAATTATTTTGCTACAAAACAAAAATGTTTTGCAGCTTTTAATGTGTAATTATCCTAATATTGTTTAAGAATCGACACCATAAATTACATGTATTATAAACTATGAAATATTATTAGATTGTGATTTTAATGCTTTTTTAACAAACATTTTAAAAATTGAATTAATAGTGGTCGTGTAAATTGATAATGACTAAGAATATCTAACTACTAAATTTAATTATTTGTAACTAACTGCTCACCTTTAAAAGTTAGTTATATCTGTATATTAAAGCGAGTTATTACCTTTCATCAATCCTTATCGTGGTCACAAGATGCGGCACAAAAATGTAAAAATTAATGTGAAATATAATCTTTGCATGTAGTAAGGCTTAAAATAATACAAAACAACTTATCACTTCTGCTGCTTTAATGTCTTATTCAAACCTTAAAGTATATTAACTGGGTTACAACCCCAAGAACTCTACATGAAGCTAACTGCATGAGACAGAACACAACTAACTTTCAAAACTTGCCAACTGTGCCTTCATCAGGCTTTCAGTTTTTTTTTTTTTTTTTTTGATTAGCAGATCTCTCTCTCTCTCTAGGCAAGCAGAAGTATGTGGCAACAGTCAATGTTCTGTCACGAATAGCCCACCAGTAGCTGAACGGTAAAGTTGCTGAACACTGGTAATTCGGTTTGATGTTCGAATCCCGCAAAGGTATTGGCTGCATGGGTTTTTTCGTGGTTTTCCCCATGTGCAACATGTATACAAGCCAATTTCCCTTAATAAATAAAGCAATTCAAATAAAGCAATTCAAACCTGTTAAGAATCATGCTGATTATGATCGTACTTTTGATTTTAACATATGCTGTTTGACATTAAAAATAAACCTGCTATTTACTAAACCTCTAGATTGAGCAAGTACCTGACAAAATGAGAGATAAAAGAAAAAAAATCAACATAAAACTGACTGTTAGTAAAATGTAAATAAAAAACCACTTATCTTTTTTTAAATAATGTCCAACTACTATAAGTGTAAAATTTTTAATATTGCATAATAACTTTTGTAAAGTTATTCGAAAATTTATTTTACAATTATATTTAATAATAATGCAATCCTACTTACGAATCTATTTTATTTTTAGGATGATATTATAAAAGAAGTTCAGGCATAGATAATATCTTTAAATGAATTTATGAAGTTCCTATTTGTCTGATAGGTCCGTAATTTTTTTCATTAATGGCCCTTAAAAGTACTTAATTTCCATGTGCAGAGACCAGGAATCCAATAGTGTTGATACACCTTTCGAATAACCAGTATTTCCTGGAATTTTGAAGATAATATTTTCAGAACTAGTCCTAACATTCATTTGGAATTTATTTTCTTCTATATCAGCCATTGTTACCAACATAATTTTCATCATTTGATTGATTTTCTGATTCACTCTCTAATTCAGTGTCTGTATCACTGATGAATTATGATTGCTGTTGTATTCTTCATCTATTAATTCTGCTTCCTCTTTGCTAAACAATTCATCATCTGTTGAAATGGTTTCTAGCATATTTCTCAACCTTTACATTTCTTTATCATAGCTTAGGTGCCTCGCCATGCTGACTAACTAAGAAAGTGAGGGGGAAAATCTGAGAGATGCGAGAAAGTGTGCGGGTATCACATACCCAAACGGTACTATTCCTAAAAAAGTATTTGAAGAATCACTACGGACATCCCAGTTTCAAGAATGTGAATCCAGTTTCAAGAATGACCTAGAATTCAGCTACAAAAGGTTTCGCCCATTTCCAGGAAAGAAGTTTGAAGATAAGGGACAAAGGATATGCCCGGTGCGTGTGCTCGTGGATTAAGTTTAGATCATCAAAAGTGGCATTGTTTTTATACTGAAAGTTAATTGTCTGTTGGCTATGAGGGATTTTGCTGTACAGTTTTATTATAAGTCCGAAATCCGGAATGATCTATTATCTGGACAACCTGCCAAAAAATAAGTAAATGAAATAAAATGTTTTAAAAAAATTCCTTATCTCCTTACAAATCTAAGAATGAAGAATACAATACTGAAGAAAGCAGGTACAGTACAAAGTCTGTAATCCGAACGTCCATAATCCAGACCTCAAAGCTACAAACACATAATGCGCGTGTGTAAACGCATTATGTGTTTACGCATACATGTTTAATGTATAATGGACAGTATAAGCTAGGCTAAAATTATGCAAGGCATTTCAGTTATGTTGCAGATTGTGCTGTTCCTTAATCTTATAGGGCCCACCAGCGGCCGAGCAGTAAAGGTGCTGAACACTGGTACTTTGGTCCGAGGTTCGAATCCTGTGAATGGGCTGGCTGCAGGGGTATTTTCGTGGTTTTCCCCATGTGTAACATGTATAAGAGCCAGTTCCCCTTAGAAGGTCCTCCACGAAGGCATCCCTCCCTTTAGGCAGATAGCCCTCAAGGCTTTGCCATAAATAACCTAACCTAACCTTAATCTTCTAATTGGATCTGGCTTATTATTTTTTGCAGACTGTTAGAACAATTTTATAAAAATTAAGCTTGAACTTTCAATTATGTCAAAAAGAGTTCCAATTCTGGAGCTGCCAAAGGATCTACAAAGTGAAAGCATGTTTCAATGTCCAAACAAAAAGTGGAATTGCTGCAAAAACATGGATAATGGCCTCTCCGTCTCAAAATTATGCGAGAAGTATGGCATTGGAAAGTCCACTATATATGACACAAGAAAAAGGAACTTTTTGAATTTTTTGTGGAAGCATCTTAAACAACTTGCATTGAGAGAAATGTTTAATAAAGTAAACTAATAAATATTAAGCTTTTTTTTTGTAAATTTTGATATCCTTTAGATCATAATTGTTCTTTATTTCATAAATTAAGTTTTCATATTTTTAATTGTATAATTTCTGCATGCCATCTTACCAGATTTAATTTGATGATCTATAATCCAGAAAAACCCCTAATCCAGAATCACCGAAGTCCAATGAGTCAGGATTACGGACTTTGTACTGTATACTGGAAATGTGATTTTTTTAATGATGTCATGACACTTTCAAACACTTGCTAGCTTGCAAGCTGTGCCATAACCAATTACATTGATTGACTTTGTTTTAATGTTGATCAGGATAGCGCTTTCTTCACTTTAGTGCTTGTATTTGTGGGAAAGGGGAAGACAGGGCTAGTGCAATGCATTTTTCTGTCTGGTGCAATCTGCAGTTCCTAAAATGAAAGTTTCATTAATTATTAATCTATTTCAGTTCAGATCAGCAATTTAATTACATAAGCTGGTACAAAATAAAAGGTATTGATATACAGTCAAAAGTCTTTAATCCAGACTCGTTGGGACTTTGGCGATTCCGGATTATCGATTTTTCCGGATTATAGATCATCAGTTTAAATCTGGTAAGATGGCATGCAGAAATTATAAGATTAAAAATATGAAACTGTAATTATGAAATAAAGAACAGTTATGATTTTAAAAGGTATCAAAATTTACAAAAAAAAAGTGTAATATTTATTTGTTTACTTTATTAAACATTTCTTTCAACGCGCGCATGCGTAAAGCATACATTACGCATAGCCGAAATTAGAAAATTGCAACCAGAAAACTATTTGATGTGTATTTGTGATATTTATAATGAATTTGATTTAAATCATATCAAAGACAGAGTACATCGAAATGAAATACTACATTTAGTAATGAATTATAAGCCGAATAAAATAAAAACATCTGCTCTGAAGATAAGGATAGTGCTGACAGATCAACTTCCAGTTCATTGCGCGCCGCGATGTTCCCCTCTCCTGCAGAGCAGCGTGAAATTGAAAAACAGATTTCGGAAAGGTTAGAGGAACAAAAGATATGCTTTTATCCATTTTTTGCAGCAATTCCACTTTTTGTTTGATGCACATCGAAACATGCTTTCGCTTTGTGTAGATCCTTTGGTAGCTCCAGCATCGGAAATTCTATTTGACATAATCGAAAGTTCAAGCTTACTTTTATAAAATTGCTCTAACAGTCTGCAAAAAATAACAAGCCAGATCCAATTCGAAGATTAAGGAAGAATGCAATCTGCAACATTAACTGAAATAGATAATTAGATAATTTTAGCTTAGCTAATACCGTCCGTTATACATTAAACGGGCATGCGTACACGTATATGCACATGCGTAAAAGTATTATGCGCATGCATAAACGCATATGCGCAGGTGTGAATGCATTATGCGTTGACACATGCACAGAAAGTTTGTAGCTTTGAGGTCCGGATTAACGACTTTTGACTGTATACATAAACCATTATAAAATAAGGCTTGGATAATTACAGAAACCACTACAATGTTTAAAAATAATTAAGAGGAAGATTAGTTTAATGTATTACAGTTGTGTTCATATAATATTGAATTATTTTAATGTGTTTAATTCTTTATATAATATATGGTATATATTTAATTTTTTTTTAATTGCTTATTTTTATTCTATTCTAGTTTATTATGCTTACGTGGTGATTGGAAATGCAGCCTTGCAAGATGTCTTGGAAAATATTTTTTCTCTTTTATAGTGGAAAGTTAAAAGATAAAGCAAATTAATGCACTTTGATTTCAACTCTATCAAAAAATAAAGAGACATTAATCCAAACTATTATTTATATAGTACTGTACTTTTAACACTTATAGCAAGTAGTTTTTTATTTGCAAGAGCAAAATATACTTTGATAAATTGGCATGTATAAAATAATTGTATTGGATTGTGTCTTTCTTGCCTTTAAAAAAATAAGGTTTCTAAAATTATAGGTGAATCCATTTGAAAAATTACTGGTTATATGTGAAATGCTGTAATCTCTAAACTTTCCAACAGGTAAATTACTTAGTATTTAATGTATCATTTGCTATTAATAGTCATTTCTTAGTCTGGTGTTCTTGTGACACATCTGTACTTTATTATATAGAGTTCAAGAAAGAAAGCTTTTTTAAAGGTGATTGTTATTTGTTACATGGTATTATAGTGAAATCTCTTGGTGGCTTCCTGTCATAGGTAATCATCTCTGTGGTCAGTCTTTATGAGAAATATAATATATTGAAACAAATATTGGTATTCATAATCATATTATTTTGTAAGGTGCTTATTCACTATTCTGACTGTGACCATTTTACTAAATATATTTAATTACCTTTCCTTTTTTCTTCATAAATTTTATTCTTTCTTAGTGGGGTATAATTTGTCGTATATCTGTGAAAAGTCGTTCATGTTTCGTATATGGATGATCTCGTTTTTATATACCAGTTTCCATTCTGTGCACTCATCACATACAAGGAATTATGTTCAAGAGACTTTGTTTAGGTGATTTTCTTTTTTAATGTTATAACAGTTAGTTAGGTGCATTGACTTTTGAGTTTGCCATTACATATAAATGCATATGTTTTTAAATTTTATGTTTCATGAACTTTCTCTCTGAAGATGTCTGAAGAAGAGCTTGTAGTAAAATCTGAAAAACAGCTTGTAACTCAGCCTGAAAAGCGGCTTATATTAGAGCCTGGAATACAGTTTATGATACCACCTGAAAAGCCACGGGTTAAACATAAACTGAAAGCATTAAATTTAGAAACACGAATGAAAGTTATTGAAGATGCTGCTGCTGGTCTTTCACAAAGGAAGTTGGCAGAAAAGTATGAATGTAGTAAAACACAGATACATAAAATTTTACAAAAGAAAGAAATAATCAAAGAGAAGTGGCGTAAAAATGCTAACAGAAATACAAAAAAGGAAACTTTTCAGCCTTATAGAGAAATAAATGATTTAACTTTGGCCTGGGTCGAATGGGCTCGTACACAGAATATATCAATTAATGGTAGGTATCTTCGTGAAATAGCTTCTAGTTATGCAAAACACCTTAAAATTGAGAAATTTAGTGCAAGTACTGGTTGGTTAGAAAAGTTCTGTCGACGAAATAATATTGTTTTTAAAAATGTGAATAATGAAAATAAATCCATTGAATCCAAGAGGAAGAATGAAAATAATGTTTCTAAAAGTCAGTGTGGTAAAAAAAAATCTGTTGAACCCATCAGTGAGAATGCTAATGTTGATGCCATTGACTCTGCTAGTGAGAATGTGGTAGTAGATTGGTTCCAGCCATTGCCATCATTAATAAAAAATTATGATTTTAAAAACATTTATAATATAGATGAGACAAGTCTTTGTTATCAGTCATTGCATTCTAAATCATTCACATGTAAAGATCCTGACATGTTTGATGCTGAAAAAGTAAAACAGAGGATAACAGTAATGCTGTGTGTTAATGCTTTAGGAGAAAAAGAAGCACCATTGATAGTAAACAATTCCTTACAACCGAAATGTTTTAAAAATCTCTGTATGTCTGATCTTGGTGTGGAATGGTATGCCAACCAAAAGTCCTGGATGACAGATAGCATTTTCACTAACTGGATTGAAAATTTTAATTCAAAAATGAAAAAGCAGAACAGAAAAGTATTATTAATTTTGGATAATTCCCCATGCCATCCCAAAATAACATTGAGTAATGTTATTTTATTGTTTTTACCTAGTAAATCACAACCTTTGAATCTTGGAGTAATAAAATTATTTAAACTTCAATATCAGCGTCGTTTACTGACTTCAGTATTTGCACTTACAAATTCGGTAGAAAATGTAAATGAAATGATTAAACAAATTACCTTAGCAGATGCAGTAGAATATGTGAAAGAAGCATGGAGCTGTGTAAATGAGAATACAATAAAGAACTCTTTTAAGAAAAGTGTTATTAATTGCAAATTGCCTGAAGATATACATGCTGAAGAAGTCATAGTCCAGACAGAAAATGAAGTCATAGCTTTAAGTCAGCAATTAGGAATTGATATCAAAATTAATTTTGAAGAAAGAGAGTTTCAGGTTGAAGATGATTGGGAAGAAGACAATCTTGAAATGCAGGCCATTGCATCTTCTTCTAAAGAAGTCCAAATAAAGGAAGAAAGTGAAGAATTTCCTGCTCTTCCTTTAAATGAAGCTCTAGACTATGTAAACAAGTTAAAACAGCTTGGTCGTAATCTAGGAAATAATAAGATGGTTGATTTGCTTTATGGAGTTCAAACTCTTTTAGAAAAGGAAGTGATTAACCATAAGACAAATTTAAATAGGCAGCCATATTGAATGAAATATATTTTTGGTTAGATAGAAGCAAAACTCAAGAATTCACTAAATGCAATATTTTTGAGTAAGTGAGTAAAGTTTATTGCATAAGCTTTCTGTGCTTCTCACATAAAAGCTGTTTCTGTGCTTTGCATATGAAAGTAAACTAATTTTATTGGGTAGCGATAAATAGTGTGTCACATTTCAATTTCTCTCTCTCTTTTTTTTTAATACAAGAGCCTTTATGTAAATGAATCCTCATCATGACTAGTCATATATTTTATCTGAAGTAGTCGCCTCCGCTGTAAGCCATAAGCATCTGGAATTATGGTTGGGATTTTTAAGGAAGATTTCGTTGTATCAGTCAAGCTGCTATACATACCTCTTTTTATCTTTAATTCTTGAAAGTTTTTTTTTAACCCCCTGCAGTTGCTGATGTGTAATAATTATTTGACTATACAACTATGTATGTAAAATTTTGGTAATTGTTTTGTTAGTCTGCTACCTGACTTTATTATTATTTTCTTTTCTATTATTTTCAATTAGCTTATGTTGCATTTTCATTGTGATTTGTGAATCAATAAAGAGAAGGCTTACTTTAGAGCATGAAATTTACTGATGGGATCAAGAGATTATTTTTAAATTTTTGGAAAGAAATGGAATTATTTGAATGAAAAGCTGTATTTGTTAAAATTATGGAATATGGAACTGATAAGTGCAATTTAAAAAAAGATTTCACAGTTATAAAGTGAAATTGCACAGTTATAAATCAAATTGCATTTACAGGAAAAAAGCAACAGAGTGAAATGCTCTGTTGTTTTTTCCTGTAAGTGCAATTTGAAGATGATTTCCCAAATTCTTTGCATTTATAAATTGTGCTGGATGCATAAATGTGTTTATTTCTCTTGAATATATACCAAAGTAACCTAATTTTGTATTTCAAATTATTTTCTACTTATAAGTATATTTTGATCATTAATAATATTTGTAATGGTCATGTTTTCTGAATTCATAAATAACAAAAATCCTTCTTTATCTGTTAAATATTATACCTGTATTTATTCCATCACAAATATTAATAGTCCTATAATTTTTTGTATGTTCATATATTCTGTATGTCTGATTTTTCATTTTGTATGATATAAAATCTGATTTGGCATTAATTTTCCTATAAGCAGCATGCATTTGTATAAAAATAAATTCATGTCATTTGGATTTCTTCATTTGATTCATAATTATTTTATTTTAAAAGCGAGGTAACCTTCTTTTATTTTAAAAGCTGTAAAGACCTTTAGTGACTTTTATAGTAACTATTAGTAACCTAAGTAAATAACCTATAGTAACCTAAGTAAATAACCTATAGTAACCATTTTTTCCTGTAAAGAATTTGGAAGAAGTAGGTTCATAAAAGCATTCATTCCTTGAACCGATTAATTTATCCCAACCAATATAAACTATAAAATTAATTTTCTAATCATGCAGTGTAATTAGTTTGAATAATTAATAATTGAATGATTTTTAAGTTTAAAATTAATTGAGTTGGTATAAAACTTGATTTATAGAAATAAAAAATTCAACTGTGGGTTAAAAATCTTTCTTTGAGGCCATGAGGCAAGGATTTCGTACTATTTAAGAAGGAAAAGATTTTTTTTTTTTTTTTTTGTCTAGTTTTGTGTTTAAGTGGGTATATGTTTCTCCAAATAATGCTTGATGTGTTATGTAAAATTTCAGATATGTTCATAATGAATTTCCTAAGTTAATTCTTCCATTCATTTATTAATTTTTATGTTGTAGTTTTAACTGAGAAATCACTTCCTAACTAACAAAATCAACTTGCAGAACAGGAGAAGGGGGTTAAATCTCTTTTCATTAAAACTCTGGCATGGCAGGCTGATGATTGTAGGAAAATGCAACATTGATTGACATAGATTTTAAGGAGGAGCAATTTCAGAGATTCGTACAATCACCTTCTACAGCTGCAACTGAATGAAACCCAAGTGCTATGAAAAACAAAAACTACAACCAAAGTTATCTGTGTTGCTTTTTTCGTATTTCTTTCTTCCTCCCACCTTGACAAAATTAAAAAAAAAAAAAAATTAAATAAGTAAGTTCAGGCTGCGAAAGATGCACATTAAATTAGTATTTTCAAGCATTTGTGTTAGATATCAAGGGCAAAATAAAAATTAAATATTTAAATTTTTGATAGGAACAAAAAAAAATTGGTTATTAATTGCAGTCAGAAACAAAGAATTTATAATAATTTTGAACATTGTTTGTATGTAAATTTGAAGAATTTGATATCCATAAGTCCTGGATGACAGATAGCATTTTCACTAACTGGATTGAAAATTTTAATTCAAAAATGAAAAAGCAGAACAGAAAAGTATTATTAATTTTGGATAATTCCCCATGCCATCCCAAAATAACATTGAGTAATGTTATTTTATTGTTTTTACCTAGTAAATCACAACAATAATTGTGTGCCAGTGAAAGGGCTAGCCAAATTACCTGAATTTATTCTTGCTACACTTTCATTCCTCCTCTCTTCAAAATTTTAGTAGCATATATATATATATATATGTATATATTTAATATTAAGAGAAGAAAACCTGATTGTAACATTCATCATTCAGCTCAATGGTTCTCAGTTTGTCACATTCTTCATTTCCACAATCTGTCATTATGTCATTCCTTTTAAAGTTATCCTTCCTGTTACTGGAAAATACAACTTAAATAAAATTGGTGCATTCCCAAGTAATATATAAAATCAAAATTATTTTATTTTAATGCGTCAGTTTTATTATATTAAATGTATACATATGTACAGAGTGTTTTATAATTAAAGTTAACCTATTTATACCTATGTAGAGTCCATTCTGGTTGACCTATTTCATTGAAACTTGGTGTATGCATTATTGGACCACAGAGAAAAGAAAATTGCAGTAAAAAATGATAGTTCAAATGTTGACCAACAAGTCAGAAGGGGGTTCATGATGAACAAAAAAATACAAATTATAAATGTAAAACTTTATTTAATCATAGTATTTATTCAGTGTGTGTTCCATTTGCATCAAACACATATTTAAGGCATGTTATAGTGTGTTCAGTAGCAGCATGAAGGGATTCTTGATCAATTGCAGCAAGATGACATGTTATGCATCAGGCATAGTTAGTATGCTTCTTTCATAGACAGGATCTTTTAGGAATCTGCATAACCAGACATGGAAACAGGGATTCAAGTCTAAACAAGAAGGCTGTTCAATTGTAAACTTTTCAAAATAATCTGCTCATCTCCAGAGTGGGCACAAAGCAGTGCATTCATTGGTCCTCTAGTGTGAGGTGGTGCACCACTAAAATAATTTTATGCTAGTGAAGGGCTGGCTTTGGTAGTTACACAAATGAGAATGTTAAACTTTGGTAGTCTAAACAATTCTCATTCGTGTAAGGCAGAAATGACTTGCTTTTGAAGAAGTTCACAAGTGGCTGTTATCGTGGGCTTTTGTAAAGTAAAGCTTTTGAGGCTTGACTCTTACCTTTGAGGGCTTTGTTCAGTTTTTTATCGGCATATAAGCTGACGCAGTCACAGAAGTCAGATACCAAGGCGATTCTCTACCCTGTGTGTAGCAGATGAAGAAAGTTTTGGGCATATCTTTTCTTTTGCTAGTATTGTCCAAAGATGAGATGACACATATCGTTAAGCGAAGTAGAAAAATAAATGTAGAACTATCACAATTATGTAGTTGATAGCAATTATAGGCATGTTGCGTCGAATTAAGAAGTGAGCATAAAATAGTTAGAGTCATAACTTGCAATTGATTGCGATAAATGATGAGATTCATTTTGAGAACCCGTAGTCACCCTGCTGGTATCTGTCGCTGAACTGGAAGAGCGTCTAAACTGCCACTAAGTTCAAGAGGTCACATGATCTAGAGCTAAAGCTATTGGAGGGAAGAAGAGAAAGTACAGTGTAGTCAGACCATCGGCAGGCATTGGGGGGAGGGGGGAGGATTTCCAGAGCCATACATAAATTAGAGATTGATTGAGCCGAAACGGGGGGGGGAGGGTCTAAGAAGTCATAAATAACCAATGTTATGCTAACAAGAAAGTTTTAACTTTGAATAAGTGCAAAAATTTATGATAATCATTGGGAATTAAATTAATTAGTGGAGGACTGAATGTAATAATAAAAGAAAAGCACATAAAATTGTTTTAAGGCAAAATTAACAATAACTTAAATTTACTTGAAGCAGAGGCCACCTTTATTAAGATATATTTGCACACTTTTAATTGAATCTTCTAGGTCTCCTGGTGTTCCTGCTATCGTTATAGTCATAATCCATATGGGGAATGCTTTCGTTATTGACACTGGTAATTTTCCTGTAAAATTTCCTAGCCAATTTGGCCATATAGCTTTTTAACTGAGGGACTTTAAGCTTGTAATATTACGTATAAACCACCTGCTTCTTGTCATTTGACGTAGCGTCAGGTTTTGTTGTATCTGTAAATTTTTCATATGCGTCTCGCTGGCAAAACCTCAAACAGGACAGGCATAAGTGATAATAGATTGCAACATGACTTTATACAAGAGCAGCTTATTGTCTAAGGAGAGAACAGAATTCCAAGCAATTAGGGGGAAGAGTTTTGATTTAGCGGCTCGGAATTTTTTAATTAGCTGTGTTATGTAGTGGTTCCATGTAAAGGTTTTGTCCATCATGACTCATAGGTATTATCACAGTCTTAGCCCCACGGGGATAACATTCCATACATAGTTATCTTTTGTGTGATTATTCTTTTCTTCGTAAACAGGACGGCTTCCGACTTGTCCACATTGATTAGAATTTTCCTCTTTTGAAGCCAGGCCTCAAGGTGCATGAATGTGTATTTGTAGTGCTTGTGCAATCTGGTCTAAATTTGCATTTTTTGCGAGACTTGCTGTGTCATCGGCATAAATGGCAAGTGTAGTGCAGGGTGTCTGTGGGATGTCGTTCGCATAAAGTAAAAAGTATATCGGGCTGACCAAAGACCTTTGTGGTACTGCCAGCATGAATGCGTCTCTGTGTGGAATATGTGTTATTGTAGCGAAGAACAAAGTTTCTCTCATAGAGATAAGATTTAGTGATGTTTATGATGTATCCTGGAAAGCCCAGGGTGATAAGTTTGTAGATTAAACCGTCTAGCCAGACTCTGTCGAATACTTTTGATATATCGAGGAAAAGTGCTCATGTGCTTTCTCTTTTATTGAATCCTTCCGAGATTAATTCTGTGACCCTGCACAGCTGCTGAGTTGTAGCGTGTTTCCTTCAAAAACCATGCTGCTGTGGAATTAAGGTATTTTTACTGCTGATGTGCTCCAGTATCCTGTCTTGTATAAATGCCTTGGCAATTTTGCTGAGTGTAGAGAGAAGACTTATCGGACGGTAAGATGCAGGGTCGTTGGCAGGTTTTTAAGGCTTTGGAATTGGTACTATCACAGCAGTTTTCCATCTTTTTGGGAAGTAGTTTAGGGTCAGCATATGATTTAAGATGTTGGTGAACTTGAACAGCATCACATGACCTACCTGGTGAATCATCTTTGTACTAATGCCATCCAAGCCTGGGCTTTTTCTAACTTTTCTTTTCTCGATATATCTAATAACTTCCGAGGGTTTAACTAGACGAATGTTGTCTGTGTTTGTTTTTGAGAAGTATTGATTGTTTGTAAAGCTAACTGTGTGTTCTGTATGTGGGTTAGAGATGTTGTGAGTGTAAAACTGAGATGTGTAGTTATTAGCTAGTAACTCAGCTTTCTCAGTTTCGGTGTAGGTGATTTTGTTACGGCCATTAAGGGGTGGAATGGTGGTGTAGCATCTTTTAAATTTGGAAACTGCTTTCCAAATTGTTGTCAGTGGAAAGAGAATCCAAATAATTAGACCAGTCTCTTTGTGCATGTAAATTAGTAAGGGACTTGACCTCCTGATTCAGTTGATTAAGGATCTTTTTGTCATTAGGGCAACGTGATCTTTGCCATTCCTTCCTCGCTCTATTTCTCCTTGTAATCAGAGCATTGATTTGAGGATCTCTGAGACGTTTCTTATGAGGAACTTCTTTACCGTTATTAGATAGAGTAGTTTTTAAGGTGACTATGAACTCTTCTACTAATGCGTCTAACTCAGTCTCACTCTGTGCTGTGGGTAGGGTGTACTGGGTGTTGTTCAAATCTTTGGCGTAATTTTCCCAGTTCGTAATAAGGGCTATTTTGTATGGTGTGCTATAGCCGCTGATAGTAGTTTCCATAATCACCAGATTTTGATCCGATGACATCTCTGAAAGGCTGTTGGATCTTATTTGGAGTGTTGACATTTTTCATGATAAAGATGTCAATGATGCTAGCACTATCAGAGCTATAGCGTGTTGGGTAGAGCGGAGCTACAATCTTGACATTAGCCATGTTGGCAAATCTATTTATAGTGTGTCTGTATGCGTTATTATGACTGCAGTTCCAATTTATGTGTTGTGCATTAAAGTCACCACCTAAAATAAGTTGTGTATTGAGTTTGGAAAGCGCTTCTAAATCAGTGTAAACTTCCGTTTATGATCAGTGGGAGGGGATATAGATGGAGACTAAAGTAATTGGTCATTGGGTGTGTGGAATGATCGTAATAGCTAACACCTCTATTGCTAAAAGCTGTGAAATTGTGTTTTCGTAGTGAGGGATGGAGCGCTTGATTAAAATCATATGTCCACCACTGCATTTTCCATTTGTACACTCTCTATCTTTTCTGTAGGTGTTATAGTTGCTCATCCTGAAGTTTTGGTGTAGGCTAAGCATTATTTTTTGTAGGAAAATAACATCGGGAGAGTGCTCTTGTATAAAATCCCTGAGTTCATTAACTTTCAGGGATAAGTCATTTGCGTTCTATGTAACGAAGGAAATGTTATCACATACATTAGTTACACTGGCCATTAATCTCATTCATCATTACAAAATACACAAATAATTTATCAGTATTGTTCGTATGAGACGTTGGAAACATAGGTTTTAAAAATTGTTGTCATTCTTGCAATATTTGCTTGACCAAAAACATTATAAATTTCCTTCATATAAATTAAAAATTGAAAAATATCTGAGCTATTAGTGCTCTTAATATTAAAATTTGTTAAATTTTCAGAGACATTAGCATTAGTATTTTAATTTTTATCCTGTGGAAATCCAGCAATGTTCAGTTTTTTTGGACTTAAGTCCTCCCTAACTGCATTAGTCATGTTAACAGGTTTAGGGCTTGAGCGAAGCTAATGACAGGCTTTATTTGATTTTTCTTACTGTTTGATGGTTTGTATTTTGGAAATTTAGGGCATCCTCGATAGGAACTTGGATGATTTCCAAGGCAATTTACACATTTTAGTTCTTCATTTCTACCTTTGATGGCACAAGCAGTAGTTCGATGTTTTTCTGCGCATTTGACGCACATTGGCTCAAAGAAACAATTCTCAAAGGAATGATGCCACTTTTGGCAATTGTGGCACTGAGGGAGCTGATTTTCAGACATGTACTTCTCTACCTTAACAGAGAATAACATCAGGCCCCTCAGGTTGTATATCTCATCCACTTTATCCGACTGCATTAGCATCAACAAAAATAATGTCATTGGTGCTTTGGTTCTTCGGCGAGTAAGTTCTGCAACTTTTTGCACAATGAAACTTTTATCAGAAACTGCCTGGGCTCTTTCTTGGTGATTTGCATTTGAGGGGAGTCCTTTAACCTTGATTGGCCTTTTATATTTTTCGCTTATTATATAATGCTCAACCTTAGTTTCCTTGAAAAATGCAGTTAGGGTACGGTGATCATCCGGAGTTTGGGGGAAGATTTTTAAAAATTCAATGTTGATTTTCCATAAAAATTTAGCCTGTGTTTTTGTATCAAGTTGCTGAAGAAAATCACCAAAAGATAAGACTCCGGGTTTAACCATTATGGGTGGAATATTTGGGGGTCTGGGGGGAGCTATTGCTGGATTTCCACGTCCTCAGGGGAAGTGCCAGCATTATCCAAATTATTATCAATATTACTTTCATTCAAAATAGCAAACTTATTTTTAACTTCTAACACATTCTTCATTTTTTTCAATTTTTAACTGCTTAGATGTTTTAGTTGGAAATTGAAAACCATTACTATCAGTAATATCATCATAATTTTTCGAAACAGTTTTACGTTTGTTACTTAAGGTACTACTACTAATTGTTGCAATATTTAATCTAGACATGCCTGTCGAAATAGTCAAACCACACTTACCTCCAAGTTTGGCTACTTAATTCTTGAGCTGCTTGATGAGTTTAATCATGGGCTTAGTCACAATGTCCGGCTGTGTCACAGCACGCTTCTGATGGTAGGCTTTCACGGCAGATTTTGTATGTTCTATCTGTTTCTCCAAGTCCACGATCTGCGAACGCATAAAGTCGATCGAAACACTATTAGCAGTTAAGTTGGCGACTTCTTGAGCCTTAAGCTGAACGTTACTATTGATGACATGGACGCTATTGTCCACGCGATTATCGTTATCACCATCAGGCGAAACAACTTCAGCTGGCTCGCTCATAACAAGCACCTACATCCACCAGGAATCAGGACCGAATGGCTTTGTGCAGTGTTCTCAAAGAAAAAGGGGCCATGAACGAAATAGCTGTAAAACCACCCCATACAGTAATGTAATCAAGATACAGAGACCATTCATGCACAACATTAGGACTTGAATTACCCAATATATGACAGTTTTGAATATTAAATACACCATCTAGGGTAAAATGCGCCTCATCCAACCACAAAGTGTTTCAAGGCCAGGCATTGTAAATGGCTTCTGACAAAAGAAGGCTAGCAGAATCAGTTCATTTGCTCAGGTCTGCAGAATGCAGCTCTTGTAAAAGTTGGATCTTGTATGGATACCACTTTACAATGGGTCTACATAGGTTTAAATAGGATAAATTTAATTATAACAATCCTATATTTAATCAGTATATATTTATTAATCTATAAACTTTTATATTTAGTAAATGCAGCTAAGAAATTATTTTTATTGGTTTTGCTGTATATAAATGATGGCATGTGTTTAACTTTTTCACTTTATTTGGGTTAAGCAATTTCAACTGCTTATAACCAATTTTGCCATAAGTTTTTTCTGGCAATTTGAATGTCCCATTTTGTGGTCAAATAAATATCCTTAAAGCTATAAATCTGTTTTTAAGGAGGGGGATACCTTTTCAATTGAGAGTCCATGATTTAGCTATTTTTCCCTTCTTTGTGTAGAATAGTTTTTGTAAATATTAATTATTGAATATTATGTGTAAAAAATGTAATGCATATTATGTGTAAAATATGAATAAAAAATGTGCCTGTCTGCTATAATCTTTTTAATCTTTTAAATATTTTTTTCCATATGACTGTATTTTCTTTTTTTAATCAAATGCTATGATATTTAAAGATAATTTGAAAAATTAAGTTTTTTCCCCCTTTTAAAATATTGTGTGTTGCCTTACTTTTTGTATAAAAGTGTTATATCATATTTTTGTTAAATTATCTTTGCACATGTTAAAAGACTAGTTAAGCAAAATAATGGTTGAAAGTTTTAATGTCTGTTACTACAGTTGATCCGTTGCTGTTGTATTACATGTTATGGTAAATAAATTGAGAAATAAAATTTATTATTATTTTATATTTTCATATGTTTGATTAGAGTAAGTGCATAGAAGTTAATTTTGTTTGCATAAAAGCAATTGCGAAGCATCTGAATATATAAGTAGTCTGATCCAGTGGTAGTCGATGTTTAGTCATTTGGTTTATTCAGTATTTAAATGATATTAATATATTTGCTTTCTTTGTGTAAAACATATTTTTTCCAGCCCTTCTTTTTTCACTCTTTTTTTTTTTTTTTTTTTTTTTAAGTTTATTTTGCTAAGCTCTCCTTTGAGTTTTTTTGTGCTTCTCTACCCTTGTAACAATGATATATTACATGTCGTTTGAATGTAATCAGGACTGAAGTAGACAGAAATTTTTAAGTATTTATTACGCTTGCATGAAATTTGAATTACAACTTGGAATCTAAAAAGTATGCATATTATATAGACATCCAGTATCTACCAAAAGAACATGCTACTTGGGATATTTTAGATAACACTGCTGTAAGTTCTGGTATAGGGGGGAAAAGTGAAACTGCAGGCAACTTGGACCAACTTGTGGAAGGGTCAGCTGAAAGGCCTATTTCAAATGTGTTTCTAATAATCAAATTCTTCAAACTTATTTTTATTACTTTCTTGCTTCTTAATGTTCTTATTAGAGCTCCTCAGGGCCCACTGATGCATGATGTGAAACAATTAATTCTAAGCCCCCCCCCTTATTAGTGGAAGGAGGAAAATTTAAATGGTGATACTAGAAATTAATTCCTTCCTGTCAGCATATTTTTCTTAAGTTTTAGTGATTAACAACAAAGCAAGCCAGAATGCTTATGAATAATAATTGGACAGTTTTAAGAAGTAATATGATTATTAATAAAATAGCTGCTATTTGAACGTGTTTGATTGTTGTTTATCCTTTTTAATAAGCCAGTTACACACTAGTTCTTTTGCTGTGTTATTCTTTCCCAGGCATAAATGTAGATATGACATCCTTTCCCTTAAGCAGATAGCACTTTAAATGTGTTTTTCCATATTCAATTGAAAATACTTGCCCTCTATAAATATAAATGTTAAAATTTGGCTATATTTTCTGAATTGTAGTTTCATAAAAATAAAGGAAAGAAATAGTAGTATAGAGTGTTTCTAGAAGAAACTGACCGGCTTTTTTTGGAAGATATTTGTTTTTTACATGTGACAAAAATGTGTGGAAAACTTTTATTATGTGTGACAAAAATGCAAAAGCAGGAAATTCAGTTTGTCTTTTATCTCCTGTAAGCTGACAAACTTTAAGTGATAATTAGCATCTTTGCATAAAAGTTGTGCAATGCATTGCTGAAATAATTTGCTGCCAGATTTTGTCCTATGAGGCAGGTAAAGGCAGAGTTAACACAGTCCAGTAAATTTTGCCATGGACCACATGCCTATGGGTAAGTTTTCTGTGGCCATCAATTACCAGTTTACTACCTCTAATCTATAAATAATTTTCAGAATTACTGATATTTTTTAAATATATTACTTGATTGTATAGCAGAAGAGTCTTCATTGTATTTTGTTGCAAATTAATTGCTAATTTCAAACTAACATTATGCTTGATGAGATGCTTTTGATTTCTGTCAATGATTTATTGTGTTTTTACATTTTTAAAGTATTTTAAGCTGTCTGAAACAATGAACATTTGTATAACTTAAAGTGCTCAGTGAAAAAGCATATTAAAAGCAATATTTTCCCTCATATGATAGGTAAGAATGGTAATTAATATAAATTGGGAGATTTAGTAGGTTTTCTTTTCCCTCTTCTTGCTAGAGAAATAGTTAAGAAAATAATTTATTGGTATGTATGATTTGAGAACTGAAATTAATTTTGCATTGGCTTAGCTAATCGCTGAAATACATTTGTAATTCCTTTATTTGTTACTTTTTTTTTATTACTACCTCTTAGAAAACTGAAATTATACTTTTTTTTGGTAATGAAGTTTTTTATTTTTGGTCAGATATTTTCTTTTCATTTTTAAATATCAGTTGCACATGACGAGTGAATGATGCTAACTTTCATATATAAAGCACTGTACATAAAAATTTCATGTATGCATTAAAGAACTACATATTTTTTTACTCTTATGTTTTAAAGTGTGATTATTAAATTGATATAATTAAGGACTAGGTCTTTCATAACTATTTTTTTCAAGTTTTTTAAAAGATTTGAAGCAAACTGTTGTGAATATCAAGTCACATTGTACAAGGTATATTTATTAATTAAAAGTTCTGATTTTTATCATATAAATTTTTTGTGGGCTTTATTAGTAATATTTCATTTAGTTTCTCTGCAATATATTTATATCTGTTATAGATGTAACATGGAGATTAGTTAATTCATGGCTATATAATAATGCAATTAATTAAGTAACACTCATTTATTTGAATTACAGCAATTTCTAATTATTTTAATTTTCATGATTTGCATGAACTTTTATTCTGTTCCCTAATATTTGGAGTGAAATTTGGGTACTTCTTTGTTATAGCGGCCTCGGAGACTGAATTGCCAGTCAACAGATATTTCGCCAAAACCTGGCTGCATGTTCTTATACCTCACCATGTGATCATATACTTCAATGCCCAGGGCGACTTAAAGCACCCAAGGACTATATAAAGGATGTAACATGGAGTTGGCTCAAAACTTCTAACTGGCGAAACAATTTAAATATTGACAATAGCATTGGCTGCATGTTTTATACCTTGCCACATAATTGTATATTAGCACCATGTTGCATTTTTACTCTCAACACATCTTATATTATTTATTTTTGATAAGGTTTTTGAATTTGCATTGTTTATTTAAAAATATTCATGGCGTTTTTTATGTGTGAATGTGATGTTAGCAATCTTTAATTTACGTAGTAATGAGGTGGATACCATATTGTATTTTCAAGACCTGACAAACGAGTATGTGAAAATAGCCACAACATGAAATGGTTAACAACAAAACCATTTGGAGGTGAAATGTTAAAAATTTCAAAAAGGGTCTCCATATTGTAAATTGGCTCAGCAGTTCTAGGGTATTGCTCACTGCTGCTATTAGATTTATGTATTCTTGGGCAGTTGACATCCCTGAAATGGTGTAACAAACAGCTTAATATGTGTGAAAAGTGCTGCAGTTGACTGGAATAGTTAATATGCAATAAAATAATAATAAGGGTCCTTAAAAATGTTCTTAGGAAATGACTGTGTGAGTATTATTATTATATGTTGCGATGTTTATTTTACATTCACACTTCACAAGGTTGGCATAATTATAACTGAGATCTTCGCACAAATCTAAAATCACCAAATATCGTTGGGGGCCACTATAACAAAGACGTACTGAAATGTGTTATTGTGTTGTAGATATATTACTTTTATATGTACTAAATGTTTTTAACAATTTTCTCAAAGTATTTCGAAACTTTTTAAAATTTAATTATGAGGACTAAGATATTGGTTATAATTATATATAAATTACAATCTGAACTTCAATAGTAATTATAATGTTAATTTATGTAATAAGGTAAATAAGATTTTTTTTCTGATTTTTAACCAACATCAAATACAGTACATTATTATAAAGATTAAAGAATACAAATTCCATTCGCATAAATGTAATTGGTGTGATTAACCTGTATAAAAACTATGTTCAGTCATTGAAATTTTCTCTGTATGCAAGTCATTAAAGTTCTTATGGAAATTAGAAAATACAAACTATTATATGATATGTAGTTATTATGTATTTATCCGTTTTAATAGGTTTTAAAAGGTATTCATCACTTTTTTGTTTTACTTCTAATAAATACATGAAAATGTTAAATAGCATATTATGATTAAAATATTTTCTATGAAAAGGCTATTAATAAGTTATTTGTTATTTCCTTGAAATAGTATATTGCATTAAATGTTACTCTTTTGCTTAATAATCCTTCTAAATCCTGTGAGAAAACCTTTATTGCAGAGCTGCATAAATTGGGAAAAAGAATAAAAGTTTTAATAAGTATATTCAATCTAGTTCTGATTATTGAAATTATGTTTAACATTCTCTGGCTTTAAGATATATTGTAGTTAATTCTAAAAATCTTAACCTCTCAAAATCTGAGATGATTATATTTAAGGTGTTTCAGGTTTTTTAGAACCATTTTGTTGCAAAAAGATTTTAAAAAGTTTGCAAAGCTATTTCTTTCTTTCTCTCTTTTTTTTTTTAAACCCCTTAACTGGTTTGGCCGTACAGTGTATGGGCTACTGATCATTGGGCGCATCTGGTTTGCCTGTACAGTGTACGTGCATCGATATTTCCCCCTTTCTTGTTTTGATTTTCCCATATTTTTAATATATTGAAAGAGAGACTTCAGTATTAGAAGATTTCAATAGGTGGCGTAGCTTGTCCATGCCATTTAAAAGCATTCTAACCAGTTTTTTCTTTTGTTACCGGAAGTTTAAAATATTTTGCATTCTTGGTCCTGGGAAGTTTTGCTACACGGTTTTCTGGTTGTGAATTCAAAGCTCTTTAGTTATGGATGATACAATAGATGATGATACTTTATTGTTAGATGCTTTTGATGATTTGGATACAAATTCAGAACTGTCTCGTAATGTTCTGGATAATTCTTTAGATGACACGTGTAGTGAGCTCAGCTCCGATGAAAGTTGACTTCTGCTAGAAATTTTATTGAAATTGATGTGGAAAATCTGCCTCTTCCATGTCCCAGGTTTAATTTTACTGGTGTTCCAGCAGTAAATATACAGATTGATGGTACTTTTGATGAACTACAATTTTATGAAGCATTTATTGATTCTTCTCTTATGAATAAAATTGTAGAAGAAACAAACAGTTATGCGACACAGGGCATCCAGTCAAGCACTGCAAAAAAATTCTCAAGAAGTAAATTTTGGGAACAAACAACTCAGGAAGAGATGCATGTACTTTATTGCTCTGGCTATACTCCAACTATATACTTTAAGGAATTTTAAAGAAGCCTGCAATTGATCAGTACTGGAGTAAGATACATTCCACATACACGTC